ATGGCAAAACATATGTCTCGCGTGGATTGATAACCATGAACTTTTCCTTGGCTGTTTTGTTACGAGAAAACATATTTATACCTCATTTGGATCAATAATCTGTGTTATGGATTTTGACCTAAGAAATTTACATATTCACTATGACGTTATTAAGTGAGTATTAAACATTAAATTCTCTTTTAAGTCTTTGAAAAAAAATCATACTTGAGATTTTTAAAATTTTGAAGAAAATTTAGCTTTTTGAAAATTTGATTTTTTTATAATTTGAAATATTTTAGAAATTGTGTAGAAACGAATATAGAAGCGCGTGGGCGCCGCGTTGCAATATATATAACGGATAAACATTGGTGCGGAATCCATAGAAATGTGAACAATATTTGTTCTTATTCTTAAAACATCTATAAAATATGTGATAATTTGATGATCATTTTTGTCCGCCAAATGGCATTTTTTTACATTTTCTATTGGATCTTTCAAACCGCTGGTTTACCAACTTACCGACTAGTAGGTCTTGTTTCATAGTTCAATTTTGAATTAATTTCTATGTTAAAATACGATGTACACCAGTCATAATTACATTGCATTATATTTGTTATATTTTTTTTACCAAGTCCGTCATTAACAAACACTTATCTATTCAACATACCCCACCGTGGTGTCAACAAACAACGTACGTGAACTTGACCCGCGTGGAAAAATTTTTGTCACGACGATAACTGATTTTTTATCATGATTCTTTACATATAATTCTTTTTCTATTTTTCATGTAACATGTGTCCCATGTCACAGCTGTCTCGACACGAAGGCTCTTTTTATGCAAACATCCTTGCTTTGGAATGCGCGACCTTTCTTTGAATTCTCCTCATATTGAACTTTGACACCGTGACTGATATGGAATCAATTATGACATGTCAGCAATTAATGTTATTTTATCCACAATAATTAGCAGCAGAGTGATCGGAGATTAATTGGTCATTGGGATAATGGATAATTAAACGATGGATAAGAAAACGTTTTTATTTATGGCACTTCTATCTTGTATCTTGCTTGTAATAATTAAATGCATTTCATATAATGTTTTAAATGTTCGTTTATCGTTACGATTTTTTTTCTAATTTTTCTATTTTTTCTAACTTTCTTTTATATTTCTAAATTTATTTTATATATATATATATATATATATATATATATATATATATACTTTTGAATCTGAGGATCAGATGAACCTAATACCATAAATTTCATGCAAATTGGAGCACAGTAAAAGAAATCAAAAGTTCACCTTTTTTTCCTGCATTAATTTGGGTATAATGCTATTATACATGGCAACCCAATGGTTTTTCTTTTTCAATGGTAATTTATATCATATATTTTATATGCTGAAGAAATGCTCTAAAAGTCAGTTTTTCTTAAAATCATATTTTACATCTATGATCATAATTGTATTTGTAATTTCTCGTTAACAAAAATCAGAAATAAATATTTTTGCATATCTTCACGTTTCAGAGCTTTCTGAATATTTTGGCATACCTCATGAAAACGGATGTGTGTGTATGTGTGAATACAATTTTCCGTCAAATAGAAAAATTCAATTTACAAATTTTTTTTTGAAAATAATTGCGGATTTTAATTCTAATTCTAGCTAAATTACTTGAAATAAATAATTTTAACTTTGCAATTCAGTTTATATAATTCTTAGAATTATGAGACAAGATTCTTCACTCTAACTCCCCTTCGAAGGAAATCATTAAGTTTGTTTATTTTACTTTTCATGTAAACCTATATGAACAATATCATCCATTTACATTACATTATAAACTTTAAAAACTTGTCTATAAAATACGAATAATAAAAGTAATAGTAATTATAATATATTTGAAAACATTTAATATTCTTCGAATATTTTCACACGGGAAGTTCCTGCAATTTGCCTTAAGGCGCGATGCCATGCACCACTAGTTTTAGTTTATTTTTAACCTACTTCTATTAAAATGTATTTATTGCTTGCATCCATAAAAAATAAACTTCTCCTTCGGGAAGTTAATTATTCAGACAAATCCTATATTTTGTTTGTCTTACTATATCGAAATCTTAAATTTCAAATATTGGCAATTTCTTCAAAATTTTGAAGTACTAAGTTTTTATTATATAATAAATACTATTTTCTTATAAGCACATTTTTTATATTTTATAGAACCACATACTCCTTAATTAGTACATGTTTTGCTAAATGATTTTAATGCTTTGTTCATAAATATATATTTTTTACTGTGGCATCATGTAATTAATAAATTGCCCTTTAAATAATTGTGTATAAAACCTTCATAAACATCTGTGGTTTATACTTTTATATGAATAATTATGTAAAACCACTATGATTTAGGTCATGATCGAGCCAGGTGCAAAAATTGATCATTATCTTCAACGAAACGCTAATTTTTTATACGCCTAGGTTAACCACAATATTGTCTCTAGTTATGCAATTAATAATATAATCTTGTAATCGTGATTGAAAATTTTCATCATATATTAAAATCAAATATATATTAATAAATTTATATTTGTATAGTTATATTATCAACAGCGGTTTAATCGAAAGAAAACGTTCAAGTTTGTATGAGGTCAAAAAATTTAAATAGAGTTTTATTATCATTTCATTAATCATTAACAATTTAATTTACTTATTTATTCGTTGGGACAAAGCAATGTTAATACTCTGAAATATATTGTAATTCATTATAACCTATTTATAAATCAGCAATATTGAAATAAAAAAGATATTATATATATATATATATATATATATATATGTCTATTATAATGGACTTTCCTAATGATAATTGAATATTGCGTGTTCTAGAAACCGGCGTATAAAACCTTGATTTCAATTAAATCGCTAAAAAAATTGAATTGCAGAAATGCATAGAAATTGGTAATTACATTGATTCAGTAATTAATTTCAATTAGCATGTTTATATACATATTTTAATTCTTTGATGTTTTCACACGTGTTCGTCACGTCGTTATTATTCTTTTAATTAATAATAAATATTTATCATTAATATTATTGGATCTTATTCCATTTATATCGAAGTGATTAAAGTTGTTGTTCTGGATATCATTCTTTCAATTATTTGTAGTAACGGTGATTTGATTGACTTAGTATTAATGATGTTTACTTTATTAACTTATATGCAATGGAAGTAATAATTAACATACTGTTAAATAATTCTAGAATATCTGATAAATATTTATATATTTTCAACAATAATGATGCATAATCTCAGGCTATATAAAACCGAATTAATGTAAGTCAACGAATAATTATTTTAGAACATTTTGTAATACAAGGTTAATATTATAAAATCAACGTACATAAGTACGTTTGATATTTGATATTTGATATTTTATTAAAATAAAATCCAATTACAAAGTTTAATCGTTGAATGAATTAGCATTTTGCGCGCTGTACGCGCTGTTAAATTATACGAAATTATTATGAGTATTTTTAATATATTATAATTAATTTTTTATGTTCTATTCTCTTTGACATTCAAATTATTTGACAAAATTTTATACATGCCAAATGACCTGTCCGTCATATACAAAGAAGCGTAAATTTAAAAACGCTATACATTTTTATTTAATAGAAAAAATTATGATATGTAAAACATTTTTTTAATATATCTTATATAATTTAAACTGTCCAATGGACATCAAATTGGAAAAAATGATATTTAAGCGAATATAAAGTCTTAAAGTGCGCTTGTGTCATTAACCTCAACTTTATTCCCCTTTGAATTTTTTTACTGTGCTCCGATTTGCATAAAATTTTGAAATTAGATTCATCTTACCCTCAACTTTATTTTGTAGCCATTATTTATTTTATAAATAATAAAAAATCTAATAAACAAACTAATTCATTTCTCAACTCAACAATTCATACTCCCAACTAATTCATTATTGTAAAAATGTGGTTTTTCAAACTTTTGTAACCCGGCCCTTTTTTAACTAACACGCGGGGTAAATTAGGACGGCAAGGGTGTAAACAGGTCCAATGTTTTATTTTAATTACAGAATAATAGCTATAGAAGGGTTTTCCAAAATAATAGCTACATTATTCAACCAAAGCAAAACAAAAATTTTATGGGCTCATTTTTTACAGATATAATACCTACTGTAATTAACCTTGATCTGGTATTTTATCAGAAATATTATCAACAGAGTTGGAATAACTATTTATTTAATTTTTCTCTTGTAAACTTACTTATTTTAACTTAATTTACTTTTTTATTTGTCATTTTTTATTTTCTACCCACCCAGGTGTAACCTTATATAGAGATTATATAAAAAAACGTTGAATCAAACTTAGAACAAGACAATAATCTTATGAAATAATTAAATGGTGAATTCTTAAAAATTATATTGAGGTCTCGTAAACTAAGCAATAGTACTCACAACCAAAAAATCTAACAAAGAAACAAAATACTTTTGTTATGGATTTTCTAACTCCTAATAGCGATGTCGTAAGAATTAAGGTGATGGCTGGATATTTTCATTTCTACTTCTATTTTTAACTCCACTTTCAAATATTGTTGTTAAAAGATTTTTAACAACTATAAGAATTCTCTCTTATAGTTCCTAACTTTACTTAGGTTTGAGATATTAGTAGTAAACCATTTTACCCGCGGGTCTTTAGGTACCGCTCTACCCCAAAAGTTATCAGTGTTACTTCCACTTTAAATAAAATAAATAAGAACTACAATTGAATAAGGGTATCTTATATATATATATATATATATATACATATGAAATTAATTTTTTATTACATAAAAAAATAGATAAGAAAGATACAGAAATCTTCTACGTAGCAGAGTCTAGCAGATGTGTTTTTCAAGTCTTGTTGGAAAGATAACTGTTAAAAGGATTTTAGTTAGTTTATTGGGTTGGATCCTTAATATATGCATTGTCTGAAAATTAATTAATGTAAAATATTTTAGATCCACGGCGTCCTTGAGACAATCGGTCTGTCGGCGACCACGAATACAAGGTGCGGGCGGCTGTCGGGAGGACAGAAGAAGAGGCTCTCGATAGCGCTGGAACTGATAGACAATCCGCCGGTTCTGTTTTTGGACGAACCGACATCGTAAGTTAATTTTATTAATTAATTTATACATTACACATAATTGAAAACAAACGAACACTCGGAGTAACTCGGAGTATTTTCTAAAAGCAAATTTTCAAAAATCAAAATATTTTATAAATGAACCAGTTTCCGAAAGTCTTTAATGGTTTAGTATGTTCATTAAGACCAAGCACTCTATCGTTGTACCAAGAAAATCGTCTAATTTCAATTTTAACTAACGTCAAAAAACTACTGATTTTCTCAAACTTTGATGAATTTTTAAAATTTAACTACTTGTCGTAAGGCCGTAATAGTCATAAGTTCTATAAGACCATGATATATATCCCCAAAAAAAGCTCCATAAAAATCGGCATAATTTATTTTTTCAACAGTTAATTACAAGAAAACGGCGTGGTAGATTTTCACCTAAAACTAATCAGTATTATTCCCAACTAATATCTTTCGAACAGTTTTTGACTTTTTAAAATCGAATCGTTAGTATGAGCTTAAATGTAGACTAAAAGTTTAACACTTTTTCCTAAATTACAAAGAAACGCCTTAGCAGATCGTCGCGCAAAACTGACAAACGATAGTCCTCACCGAAATACATCAAATGGCTATTAAATTTCTGAAATCGGTTTAGGCGTTTTTTTATCAAAAGTCGATGAAAGGTCTAATTTTGACAAATGCAAAAAAAAAAAACGATAATAATTTTAGCAAATTTCGACGAATTTTTAGAATTAAACCACTTGTCGTAGAGTCGTAATATTTTAGTATGAACTATATGACTATGGTCTCTACCGTTAAAGAAAATTCATAAAAATCGTGGATTTTTTTTTCAACTCTTTATTACAAGAAATCGGCCAGGCCGATCATTCTGAATCGAATGAGATCAAATTTAGAAAAAGTATGTGTGTGTTTGTTTGAGTGTATGTGAGCCAATCTTTGACCTTTCGTTAACGTTTTTTCAAAAAACGGCAAAAATTATTGGTCTGTTTTCTGCGACGATCGACCAAGTCGTTTCTTTGTAATTAGCAGAAAATAATAAAGTTTGAACAGATTATAAAAATTCAAAAACTGTTCGAAATATAATGGTAGGCAATTGCGTTGATTAGTCCACACTTAAACAAAATATATTTTTGAAACAAAATTGATTTAATTCAATTATAAACAAATTATATTAATTAATATGTTTGGAAGACATCCATTGAAAATCTTATTGATTATTTTCTAGTAAAAGCAAAAATGTTATTTTTGAAATGAACAGTTGAATATTTTATCTAAATAGCTGAATCTAAATTCTTATTGATTATGTATATTTTAAGTTGATTATGTATACGTATCAGGAAGTTCATGCAACTTGTCTTAAGGTAAAATGCCAATTACAACTGTTTCCTTACATTTTTACCCCAAATTAGTATGATTTCATATTTTTTAATTTGATCTTAATTTTTTGTCTATGCCATTTAAAAAAAAGTGTCAATAATGTATTATCATCTTTGATTCATGAATAATTATGATTCTACATACCTGCCGGGACTGATTAGATTTTTTGTTGTGTCTGTTTATTCAGGACTAGATTTATATTCTAATGCAATCAGTTTTTGTTTTTATCAGATAAGAATGCTAATCAACGACAATAAATTGCGTATCTATATTTTATTATTTAATGCTGGGAATTGTGGTGTTACTTCCTGATTCTTTCATGGAATGTAGAAAAACATAGAATTGAATCTCTGGTATAAGTTGTAAATGTTGTGTAAAAAATAATAGTTTTATTACGCCTTGCTCGGAGCAACAGAAACTACTTTGCAAATGATAAAATGATATGTATATATAATAAATTGATTAAATAAATACAATGATATAGCGGTTCTTGGATAGAATGTAAAGTTTATAATTATAGTATTCAATTGTTTTTATACAAAATTAGATAATTATAGGAGTCCATTTGTATATATACAAGTGAACTTGTATAATTAATTAATTAGGTAATTAATTATAGGAGTTCACTTGTATATATACAAGTATACTTGTATTAATCAACTTCCCATAGGGTAAGTTATAGTAATGGCAAAAAAATCGAGAATGATCGAAATGAATCAAATTTTTATATATCTTTACGTTTCAAAAGTTTCTGAATATTTTAGCATACCTTAGAAAAAATGGATGTATGTGTGTGTGTGTGTGTGCGGATACAAATTTTTGTCGAAGATTTGGGGAATGGCGATCAACCGATTTGAGTAATTCAAAAAACATTCGATTCGTGTTGATAAGGACACCTGCTGATTACTTTTCGGCGAAGGCAGGTCTAGCCGTTCCGAAGATACCGGGCAAAGAGTGCCAAAAACGGTAACTCAGTTTTTAAGAGAATACATTTTACATTTACTTGTATTGACAAGATGAAAAAATGATTACTTTTTTGGGAAGGCAGATCTAGCGGTTATGGACTTTTAATAAAAATAAGTTATAAAAATGTCATTTGGCGGTCAAAACTGTTTATTGGACATATGTACATCAAATTATCAGATATTTTATAGAGATTTTAATAATGTGTACACATTGTTTTGTGTTCCGTACCGAGATTTTTAATTACGGTACCGAAAGTTCCAGCAATTTGCCTTAAGGCACGATGCCACGCACCCCACTAGTTATAACTATAGTTATATTAGAAAGAATAGTACTTGTAGTTCTGATATCTTAATTGGTCCTCAGGATATTCAGAAAGGAGAACAGACTTGCACTTTATCTGCAAATTTCAGAATTTATCCTCATCTCGGAAACGGCTTAGGCAATTGTATTTTTAGCGTTGTCTGTTATAATTATTGATGCTATTTTACATTCTAAAACAATCTCAATATGATATCTTGATGGGTTCTTGGGATATTCAAAAAGGAGGAACAGAATTGCACTTTATCTGCATATTTAAACACAACAAATTCTTTTTCTCGCAAATGGCTTAGGCAGTTGTGCTGCTAATGTTTGTTATGAATATTCATACGATTTTTCATCTTAAACAGTCTCAACTTGGCATCTTGATTGGTTCTCCAGATATTCGAAAAAAGCAACAGTCATCACCTTTCATCTAATATATAACTTAGTGCGTCAATTTAAGCTATTTATTTTTCTATTTTCTAGAGGTTTAGACAGTTCCTCATCTGCCCAATGTCTATCAATGCTCAAAGATCTGGCTCGAGGAGGAAGAACCGTCGTTTGCACTATTCATCAGCCCTCGGCTGCCCTTTTCTTGGAGATGGACCATGTGTACGTCTTGGCTGCTGGAACCTGCGTTTACAAGGGCGACAGTGCCAATGTTGTACCTTTCCTGGGAAGTCTTGGCCTGCATTGTCCGCAATATCACAATCCTGCAGATTACCGTAAGCATAGATACTAGGTTCTTATTTTTTGCCTCTTCAAATTGCTCGATTTCTAGAATATCTTGAACCTTCACTGCAAATTATGATTCTAATAACAATGATCATAGATAGATAGATGAATTAGTTAACAAAATTCTGGTATTAGAATTCGAATTCTTTTCTGGTATTAGAATTCTCGCCTTAAGGCGTAGTATTTTAGGAAATATTTTTTTTCTAATATTTACATTTTATTAATTACATATGTTTTTTATCTAGTTCTTGAAGTGGCGAATAAAGAATATGGAGACTTCACAGAACAAATGAATTTTGCTGCTCAAGACAATAGTTGGCGTTCGGACGACGATCCTGAAAAATTGCAAATGATTTCCATTGAAAGAGAAAACCACCATAATAATAATACTCTTAAGCCAAGTGATAGTGAGGAATTTGCTAAAACAATGGTTTTAGTAGGACCTGCTTCGGAATTTTGCAAATTTTGGATACTACTTCAGCGATGTTTTGTTCAGCTATATAGAGATTGGGTGAGATAAATATAAAAAAATATATGTAGCAGATTTAATTGTTGGAGAATTCAACATTGAATTATATTCTATTTTTTTAGTTAAAGTTGAATTTCTAATATATGAAAATTATTAATAATTACTATGTAACAATTAGTTCCCATTGGCTTTTATGATAAACAGTGTCAATTCACAGCATTAGATTATCATTTTAAACTTTAATTTGTATGCAATAATATATTTCGATTAATAAATATTTATTCATTTACAGACTGTAACCCACCTAAAAGCAATTATTCACGTACTAGTTGCTGTAATTTTGGGACTTTTATATGGTGATTCAGGCTCAAATGGTTTGAAGACAATTAGTAATGTTAGTTTGTATTTGGTGTCACTAGTCTATTTGTGTTACACAACTATGATGCCGGCAATTTTAAAATGTAAGTGTTTTAGGAAATAGGAAATTATTTGTTTTAAATACTTGGCTACCTCAAAAATAAAATTACTTTAAATTTCTGAATTAAATTTAACGATTTTTTATGAATGACAACGTGATTAACCAAAACATGCAAAGAACGGTAAGGATGTTAAATCGACGAAAATAAATTATGAAAGTAAATGAAGATCTAAAGGAAATATTATTCCTAACTCTTTTTTGTAAATAAAAATCTCTAGAATTAAATAGTTCAATGTAACTCGAATAGTAATTTGAAAGAAGACAATCTATGAATTGATATTGGATTGAAAGATCCAAGAGAACACAAAACAAGTTTTCGATAATTTAGAATTGAATTTCGATTAGTAAGGATTGAATTTGATTGTCCTAGGCTAATTGGTTACATTACTACGAAAATATACAAAAAAATCTAAAAACATCTCTTGTTATTTAATCTGATTATAATTATAAATGTATAGAATTTGAAAAATATGGTTCTCTGTAAATGATATATTATATACACCGAATCACAAGGCAACTATACATACTTTGATGAATAATGATCTGGGTTCATAAATCGAAATTAAGTGTTTTTTTCAATATTATATTAAAAAATATATTTTTAATTGGTAATAATAATAACATTATATGTTTTACAGTACCTTCAGAATTACCGGTATTAAGAAAAGAAAGCTTCAATAATTGGTACAAGCTCAGGACATATTATACAGCATTTTTAGTAGCAAACATTCCAGTACAAGTGAGTATTTAACTTAAATATAAATATTGAATATTTTTTTGAATAAATTAATTTTCTAATATTTTTCTATTTTTGTTTCAGATAATGTTTTCTGTATTATTCTGTTCTGTTAGTTATGTGATGACATATCAACCATTAGAAATGTATAGATTTCTGATGTATGTTGCCATTTGCGTCTTGGTTACCTTGGCATCTGATGGAATAGGAATATTTTTAGGATCTGTCACAGACCCAGTGGTAATAATAAAATTTTACTAATAATAGTTTAATGTAAAGATCGTTTTTAGTATAACCCACAGACAATTAGAATATGCCATCATCTCCATACATTCAAATTGACGTTAATGAAATCGATTTAAGCTAATTTGTGATTAATTTAAATATTACTATTTCTAATCAGAGATTTCTTTTCCAGAATGGCACATTTTTCGGTGCAATTTTCACCTGTACAATGCTGGTCTTTGCTGGATTTTTAGTACAATTTACTCATATGCCTATAGTCTGGAGTTATATTTCGAATATCAGTTATCTTAAATTTGGCCTAGAAGGTCTATTCATAGCAGGTTACGGCTACGGAAGGGCCAACTTGCCTTGCCCAGAAGATATTTACTGTCACTTCAGGTAACTTTAGAGAAATAAAGATTTGTTATGTAAATTTATTGCAAATTATCATTGATATTGGTATCTAAAAATTATTATCATTAGGATAATATACTGCAAGTCAACTAATGCGAAATTCATGCCCCAAAATTGACACTCACATATCATCTGTGCATATTTTTTTTTATTCATTCATATTATATAACAATCTTTAAAGCTGATGTAATGTATTGGAATTTATTTTCAAAAATTGAATAGAACCATAACAAAAATATCAAAAATGTAATATGTATCAAAATCATTGAGATTACATTAAGTTTTTTTTTAAATAACATTCTTATCAGCACAAACCTGAAAATATCAGTTTGTACATTAGTCCATCAGTACTAAATTCCATACATCAGTAATTTTAAAACAAGACTAGTGGTGCATGGCATTGTGCCTTAAGGCAAATTGCTGGTACCTCCCATACCAAAAATTAAAGTTATAAAAAAAAATTTGAATTTTTGAAAGTTTTGAAAACCTTTCTGAAAAATTTGAATTTTTTATACTTTGAAATATTTTGGAAAATGAACTTTTTTAAAGCATTCGCGATACGTTAGCTGCGTAGAAACGAAATAACAAAGCGCGTAAGCGTCGCAGTATTTTGGATAAAAATTGGTACGAAACCCATAGAAATGTAAACAAAAATTGTTATTATTATTAAAATGTTTATAAAGTGATAAATTAATGGGCATCAATCAATTTTGTCCGCTAAATGGCATGTTTTTACTTTTTTATTGGATTTCCGAAACCCTAAAACTTGGCTTAACAAAAATTTCATCAGTTTTTTATTTTATCTATACAAATAAAATGTTATTTTAAATCACTTAAATCAGACGCTCCGTTCTCTCAAAAATTGAATTACCATTTTTGGCACTTTTTGCCCCGTATCTTCGTAACGGCTCAACCTGGTTTATCCAAAATCAGCACGTCTCCTTATCAATAGGAATCGGATGTTTTTTTAATTATTCAAATTGGTTGATCCGTGTTCTCGAAATCGTCGACAAAAAATTGTATCCGCACATACACACACATACACATACATACATTTTTTCTAAGGTATGCCAAAATGACCAGAACCCTTTAAAACGTAAAAATATATAAAAAAAATTATTTTCGATAATTTTGCGATTACTATAACTCACCCTAGGGGAAGTTAATAATGTAAAAAGTGCAAATTCAAGATTTTCTTGAGACTTTTACATCTATGATTTTATATTAATAATATTTTAAAAAGTTGAAGGGTTTTTATTGCAGATAATTTAAATAAATTTATTTGTTTGCCTTTTCTGGCAAAATTAAATCAATTCATACGCAAAATTTTAGAGATAATCTATTTTAATTAGTCGAAAACATATGGACATGTATATGATTATATATAGGTGTACAACTGTACATGATTATATATAGGAACATGCGTATTATTATATATAGCTACTGCAAAAATCCACAAGAATAATAATTGAAACAACAATCGAAAATTTGTCTAATATGAAGTGCTTATCAGCACGAAATTTCAAATAGTTCGATTAAAAAATAATTAACTTCAGAACAAGATCAAGTTCATAAAGAAATTCCTTGAACCTTTGATATTTCTGGGTTTGGAACATCATGAAGCATCGAATAATTTCATTTCATTTTCATCAACCATCATACAAGATCACCATGAATCATCAAAAATGGACACTACAAATAACTTTATTCTATTAGGTCACCTAAGACTATAACCAAAGAATTGGATATGAATTTGGACAATTATTGGGTAGACGTTGGTGTCCTGGCCGCCTTTTTTGTCGCCGTTAGAATTGCAGGATATTGCACATTAAAAAGAACATTGAGAAACGGTTAATTTAAAAAAATCGTGTTTTTATTAAACATAATTATTTATTTATAATTAAGGATAATAGATATGTGTTAGTGATCTGGTTAATATGATGACTTATCCATAAAACACAAGACATTTGATAACAGTTAAAATTTGGATATTGATGTCTTATGTCTTGTTGAAACTACTCCACAGTTTTTATTATTTGGAAATTATTTCATCATATTTTTCTAATTAATAAGAAATTGACAATATTGTTTTGAGCTGGTCTCTACTGATATTGGTCATTTTCTTCCTTGCCTTAATATTAGACTCATAGGCTTAAGTGTGCAATAAGTATTTTAATAATCTAGATTTAAACAAATTTATCAGGGCATTTGAATGATTGTTTGAATCTGAATATATGGTTAAATTGAGACAGACATTTTGGTCAAATGTGCTAGTTAAAATCATTATTAGGTTTTCATTATTAATTCAAGTAGTATATTTCCTTTTGACTAGATATTTCAAATAAGTTTATGTATCTTATTTAAGAATCAAACATAACATTTCTGTGATAAATAAACTCTAGTTGATTCGAGAATATTTGTTATGATCTTTGTTTCTAATGCACTTGTTAATAATAATTATGCATTACAAATGTTAAAATGAAATTATTATGTTTATTTAATAAGATACATAAAAGTAATTTATTTTAGAAATTTATAATCTATTTTACTAAATATGAAATATGAATTTCTAGTCTTAAGATTTTACTAAATTACTGATATTTGAATTGAAATATTGCTGAAAAGTAATTATAATGGACATTTTCACGTAGCAAAGGTATTTAATCAGTAATTTTTGAACATTTTCATTTTGCGTATATATTTCATCTATAATTTTTACAAAAAAATATTTACACATGCCATAAAATGAATGCTCCAATAATCATTTTTATATTTACCTATCTAATTCGTGTGTAATTTTTATGGGCCCTTCATTTGTATTATTTTTTAATATGCAATTTTAAATTATAAGATCTTGTGTTTATAATTAATTTATTAAAAAATTGTCTAAATGCTCTCTGAAATGGTTGTTATAAGTAAATTTGTATGACTCTATCTCGTATATACAAGTAATTAGAAAAGTACTAATATACTTAAGTAATACTAAGGACTACTGTGATTTGATAAAAAAAAACATTAAAAGGTTTTATTTTTACCATAACTGATTTTTATTTCTCACACAATCAATTACAAATTTTATGAAATGTATCAGAGAAATTGAATTTTAGTGTATATATTAAAAGGATTAAATTCCATGCAAAGTAGTGATTAACTTCAAATTATCATGTATAAAATATTGAACAGTTTTTATAGAATTCAAAATAACATAAATTAAAAATCTAGAAGGATTGTTAAATTTATAAATAAAGACGCCTGAATGCATATGAAGCAGCTCTAACATTTTATTCGAAATCAACTTCTTATAGATTATGAATCAATCTTAATAAATTATGAAAAGCGTTAAATAATTAAAAATAGTATATATATATATACATAATTATTTGTTTGTAATAATTTCGACGCTATATGCGAGTCATCATTCAGCTTCAGAAAATCTTCCAAATATAAAAATGTAATAAAGACAAAATCATTTTTGTCAGGTTTATATAACATTTTCCATTTCGAAATAAAAAACATGTATGGTAGATAATATTTTTTTTAAATAAAATTGTTTTCTCTTGTTCGAATGTTCTATAAATTTCTGATAGTGGTTCAGTATTTATTTAATTTTTATATTCTGAATTTATTCTCTTGCTGAATGACAACACATATTTAGTATCGAAACTATTATAATGGAACAATTTAACATATTGATATATTATTTTTCAGTCATTGGTCATTATATTGATCTAAATAATATATTAGATCTATATTGATGATCCTCCAATTTTTTTTTCATAATCAATCTTGTCTAGATGTTTTCTTCTTCAAATTTATTCTATAATTGAAAATATATAGTCATGAACGATGGGATTTTTCATACGTAGACAATGTGGAATAATTATTGTTAATCAATTATAATTAATGTCAATAATTATTTATTAGAGAAATAATCAATGAAGTCGTCCTGTTTATTGTTGTTTTACGACCAACAATGTTGTTAGTAATGATAGGTATAAAATAAATACGTAAATCGAGAGAGAAAAATAATTTCTTTAAGTTAAGCCAAGTTAAAATTAAAAATCACTTTTTGAGTTTGTTTTTAACTTTCCGTAAGATAAGTTATTGTAATAGGCCGAAAATCAAAATTGAAAATTATTACATTTCTCGACGTTTTGAAGGTTTCATAACATTTTGGCATACTTCAGAAAAAAAGGACGTGTGTGTATGTATGTATGGATACAATTTTTCGGTCACGTTTTTGGGCGCACGGATCAACCTATTTAAATAGTTCAAAAAACATTTGATTCCTATTGATAGGTAGATGTGCTGATTAGTTTTTGGCAAAGGCAGGTTCAGCAGTTACGGAGATAAAGATCAAAGAGTGCAGAAAATAGAAATCGAGTTTTTGAGAGAACGGAGCATCCGATTTAAATGATCTAAAAATATTCAATTAGTAATGATTGGGAGAAGTGTTTATTAGTTTTTGGCAAAGGCAGGCCCAGCCATTTTGAAGATACGGAGCTAAATATGCAAAAAATGGCTTTTGAGAGAACTAAGCGTCCGATTTAAATGATTCAAAGAACTTTCTGCTTATCTTAACAAAAAAATTGATTTTGTTTCAACTTTTTTTCAATTTTTTTTTGCAAGAAAAATTTTTTTGTTTTCGAAAATAATTCGGATTTTAATTGTAATTCTGACTATAGTCAGTTCGAGAATTTAATGCATATATTTCTTATTAATAGTAACAAACAAATAATATGACATCAGAGTATTAAATGCAAATATAAGCGAATATTTTATTTCTTCGATTTTGCCATACAGGATGCACTTATTGTTAGTGTTATCGTTATTTTCAGCGGTAATTCGATACGTTTATTAGTATATCATGTTTATAAAACGTTTCGTAATTTTTTGCAAACGTCATCTTTATGCAAATATAAAATTATTCATATTTGTGCGTAGGTGCACTGAACTTGATTATTGGAATTTTAGCTCAAATACAATATCAGCATGCATATGAAGATATTATTATAAATATTTACAAAGATAACAAGTATTTGTAACTAATATTGTTTATTTTATTTTTTTTTATATTTGGTATTTATAACCTCATCTTTCTTATATACCGATTTTTCTTTAAATCGATCGACTTTATTCTGTAATTTTAAGTAATATAATATATGTCATATACTACACACACACACACACATATATATATATATATATATATATATATATATATATACATATGACAACATAACTTTTTTAGATATTTTCAGTATGATATATGATCATAATAAAACAATTAGCAATGACGATAAATATATTTACAACCATATTAAATTGTGAGCAGAATAATTTATGCTATCTTAGCAATAATTGATCATTCTGTAGTATTCCATTTTTTTCAACAGAAATTTGTAAAAAAATGGGAAAATGATTGTTTTAACTCAATTGGTATACTGTATAGGCGCAATTTCATGAAATACAGAAAAAATAAATGCTTATAAGTTTCAAGCCTTCAAGAAAAAAAAAGACATAGTACATTAAGCTTGTATAAATATAAACATTTTTTTAATTGCTTTACAAATATATATTTTTTTTATAATAAGAGCCTGATAATTATATAAAATTCACTACTACAATTAATGCATTTTACATTTAATACTGATTCAGTATTCTAAATAAACTTTGAACTTTTTTCCTTTCTATTCAAATTGTGCCATTTTAACACATTAACCATAGTTCTTCTATAATGAGGGACTAACGTTAATGATAAAGAAATTTGTTATCAAAAATCTTTTTAGTTGGGAAACAGTTTTATCAAATCAACATAAATATAATTACTTCCCAAAAACGATGTGTAATATGAGGTCAATGAATTTGATAAAAGGAACACTAGAAATTCTCGTGAACTAACCCGGATATTAAACTACTGATATTCATATTTGAGAATTATATTAGGTTTAATATAATACTACAACAAAAATAATTTTACTGTTTTTTTTTTTATTCTTAAATGACACACACACACAAAGTGCGAATTGTAGAAACATACCCCCAGTTTTAAAAAGTATGTTATTATTCGTCTCAGTGTTTTCATCACAAATTCAGATTTTTTTCTTTCACTAAACAAACTGATTAATTGTTCTAGGGAGAAGTCAGTATTATCTTCAAAAAAATCTTTTTGCTAATATTATGTTATTTTGGTTTCAAGTTATTATGAAACATTTGACACTTTCGTGCACGTTTCTTACTTTCCTGATCTACGTCAAAACTTGCCTTAATGGAAAATGCCACTTACGCCTAGTTATTGTTCTTTTTTCTAGTGCTTACTTGAACTTTTACAGGTTCTGTACAAAAAAAAAACTAAATGAGACTAAAACAAAAAAATCTTCGTTACAATTTAGAGATAAAACAAAAGTTTATTTTAGGTACGAAAGCGAAACAATGGGTTTATCGTAACTAAAAAATCTTGATATTTATTTTAATATTTTTTCCATTAATTTTTTTTAAAACTCCCCACCAAATTATATATCTTTTTATCTGTCTACAAGCATGTGAATTATATTTCAATTATCATTTTTGTAACAATAAACAATAAAGATAAATGATTAATGCAAATTAAATGCACAATAACAAATAATACGTAATATCAATTATCGTCTCATCAAACAAGGTTTCTTAATTTGCAGATACAGTTAATTAATTACTTAAAAAAAAGTTAATTGATATTATTCTTTGTAGCTGAGATTATGCAATTCACTACTCAGTATACTGTCAGATTATTTTTAGATCTAATTTATGAAACATGGTAATAAAATTATAATAAAAATTACAATCTTGAAAACAAGTTTGATCAATCATTAATTACAATGTTTGCCACATTATTTGCTTCGAACAGTTCAGCAAATTTTTTTTCTTAATTCTGGTCAACTTTTTTG